CATTTTCCCACGGAGGCCTGCATCAAGTTGCCTTGAGAAGGTAGTGCTTCCCTGGGCCAAGAGGGTGCCTACTGGAAGATTCTATGCCTTGGCAACAGGATTTTGCACCATGCCACACAAACAGGAGAAGACAGTCATGTCTGTCAGACAATTTCTGCCACTCCTTACATCTGGACAACTAACTCTCCAGACTGAAACCGCATTCATTATTATGTGTGGGAAGCAGTTGAACGAGAGACCAACAAAACTTCTCGTGATACCAAAGATGAACCGAAGGCATGGATTATGTCAGTTTTATAACTTAAACAAGGAGACCGACCGGAAGAGTTGCAGGAGATTCCGAAGTCGTCTGGAGACAAATGGCGATTTTATTGAATAAATTTACTCTTTAATATTTAAAAATATTTTTGTGTAATTTTGATAAATATATCTGTTAAATTGAGATGTCAATGCTGTTATCATTTTTGCGTAATTTAGACAGCAAATTATCCATCGCACACTCTGTGTGTGTGCGTGTATATATATATATATATATATATATATATATATATATATAGCCTGAAGGTTGCATTTAAGTATAAAACAGACTGTCACCGTTCGGTTTGGGACTCAATGTCAATTTTTATATTATCATACACTGTAAAAGTTAGTTTATCTGAGAAAAAAGAAAAAAGAAAAGAAAAGCGTACGCCGGTTCGATTCCTGCCAAGGTGTATATTCCATTCGAGTTCATTACATGCACTTTCCTCCCAAGTTATCAATCTATCTCTTCCCCGCCCCGACAACTATGGCATTATCGCCTTGCTTGGGATGTAATGATAACAAATCCAATCAAAAACAGCTAATATTAATAATAATACTAAATAAAGACGTAGATGTATAAACAGACTTATAATGTTATTCACCGTTCCAACTAAAATTTATAGTCAACGCTATATTATGAAAACTCCAATGAATACATACCATCAAAATCGGTGACATTCTACATAACATATCAGAGACAATATCAGTTAAATTATATTCGGTTTTGTTTAGTCAGGAAACGAGAAAGGATCGAACTCATGTTGACGAAATTAGTTTATTTTTCACGGATTTTCTCTCAAATAATGTTCGTCTGTTACATGGTATATCAATAATTCTATAGTCTCTTGACAAAGAAGCGTTTACATTTTACAACAAATATTCACTTTTCAGAATGACGTTTATTCTTTCTTAATTCTTTATCATTCAATAGGAAATCATAGTCACCGCCACGTAAACTCTAAAAATCAACATACCGTCATGAACACATGCTTCAAACGTAATGAAAACATAGTTTTATCGTCAAAATCTTTATATTATTATTACGAGGAAGGGTCAAAGTATTTTGTGATTATTTAATTAATTATTTTCCTGCGTCTTACAACATTCGAAATTTGTTTTTTCTTGCGTCAGCGGTTGTTCTAACTTTTAGCATAGCAAAATGTCGCCTTTTTTTTACAGTGACTGACGTAGTAATTTGAAAATTCTTTCAAAATTCAAATAATTGTCATATTTTAATGAAATTTTCAAGACTTATTCAGAAATGAATAAAACTATTTTTTCGAATTTATTTTATTAGAAAATCTTGGTAAGGTTTTTTTTTGCATGTGTTTCAGCCATTTACTTCATTTTATGAAAACTTGAGAAATTCGTCGAAATAATTTTTAGTAACTGTATTAGTTAAAAGCAGAATTCTTTGTAGAATGTAAATCACCGAATTTGTTTTGCAAAATCGGACCCGGGTTTAACGAAAATCTGTTTTGAATTGAAAAATAAAAGACGCATTAAAACTAAGACATTCTTTAAAATTGCTTTTGTGAATAATATAGGGAGTTAGATCGACGAAAAATGAATTTTTACGAGATTTGTTTATATTTTTTTACAATTTTGAATTGAATAATTTATAAAGTTTTTAAATGTTTTAAAATTAATTTTCAATGAGATAATTATTAGGAAATATTGCTGATACGTAAAACTATATCTACTTATTATATATTGTGAAGCTTATTAAAATCTAATGGCCCAAATATTGTTAAAAGAATTTCGATTTGTTTTGAATGTGTGATTATTTGCAGAATTTCTGAAGTATGGATGAACAAAACAGATAAATCTAACATTTAAGGATCACGTGTTTAAAGGGCTGTCCCCCTTATGGCGAAAAAAACTTTATCGTCTGCTTCAACATACTTAACACGTTCAACTGCCAATCGAATGTAAATAAATCGATTAACACATCAGGTAAACAAGACACCGTAGTTAAGAAATGTTTGAATAAAACATTTTATGCTATAAGTAATATTTGTCACAAATAAGATTAATTTACCCTTAAATTTGCTCATTTTATTCAGAAAAAAACGTTTCAGAGATATATATTTTAATTTTGCAAGATTTTTAAAACCGAGAATTAACTTTTGTTTACAAAGGTGTCAAAAATGGCCGTTTTGATCGATTTTAATGAAAAAAGGAATCGATTCCGATCAGTATAGTTTCTGCTTTAAATACACAGATTATTTTGATTACTTTAAAATAGTACATTTTAAATTCTTTAGCTTTAAATTAAATCTAAAATAAAAACTTCAAGAAAGAGTTTTTTTTATTTTCAAAAAGATCATTTAAACCTTACGTATACCGAATACATTGGCAATTTCAGATTAAATTTACCTTATAACTGCCCAGTAAACTGCGGATTTGTGGACCTAAAATCGTATTCATTTTTTTTAAAAAAGGATACTCTATGCAGAGGAGGAAAAACTGTGATGTTTTTATTTATTACGAAAACTCCAGAAACATTTGTACAAAGTAAATTTATCTTCTAGCCTTTGTTTCAAGCGGCAGAACCTATAAGGCAGCAGGTGGTTTGAGTTTCCTTTTCCAAGATTGGTTGCCACCCGAGGATATAGAACGCAATCTGCCCTGCTATCTATCCATAGTTGGTGCTGGTGGTGGGAGCGAACTCGGCTCTACGATTTCTTAATCCACCGTTATTCCACCGTGTCGATACTTATTATTGTGTGCGCATAGCCGTGTGTGTGGGTGCGTGTTAGTGTTTGAAAATACCGATGTAGAACATGTGAATCAGGTTTCTACTTTTCTTCAGGGTTTGATGGAGTCCCTTTCACTAAGGTGCCTTCTGATAAACCCTGCAGCATCGACAACGGCTTTCCCCGCTCTCTACCAACAAATTTCTTAAAACCTTTGACAGTATCCGAAGCTTTCTCGGCCCTCTGACCCTGGTGAACGGTAAAGTCGACAGGAACCCGGGGCAAAAACACTCACGTTCGCTTCAACAGTTCAAAGATGTATTATCGGTCTCACGTTAACGCGAAAACAATTACTTCGTCACGTGATCACGTCAGAATATATTTCGACATTTAATTTTCCCAGAGATTCGTCAGTGCCCTGTTAACAAAGATGGTTGCGTATTATGTGTTATATTTGTGCACACATTTTTGTCATTATTATTGTTTCTAAAAATTAAAAAAAAAAAATTTTCATATATACAGG